AAACAAATCCCAGTTATAACCATGTTGGAAAACATGCAGTTGCAGTCATGGGGTGACACTTGTAGTTGCATGGATAGTGTGGGACATGCAACTGACCACCGCCCCTCTCTTTGACGCCCCCTCCAAGACAACAATATGTAGTTGCGCCCAAGTTCAAAGACATGCAGTTGCAGTCATGTGCACCACTTACAGTTGCATGACTAGAATTGGACATGCAACTAACCCCCAATCGCCTTCGTCCCCTCCGACAAAACAATCCAATTTGCAACCAAGTTAGAATGCATGTAGTTGTAGTTGGGGGCGATGCTTGAAGTTGCATGACTATAATTGGGCATGCAACTGACCCTGTCCCCCGATATTCCCCTCTAACAAACAAAGCTCAGTTGCAACCAAGTTAGAAGACATGCATTCCTCAGGAAAAAAGTTATAAGACATGCAGTCGAGGGCGACACTTACAGTTGCATGACTACATTTGGACATGCAACTACCACCTCTCCCCTCCGCCCCTTCGACAAAACAAAGCCCGGGTGCACCATGTTGGAAGACATGCAATTGTAGACAAGGGTGACGCCTTGCAGTTTCATGACTAGTGCGGGACATGCAACTGCCCCCCTTCTCCGCGCTGCTCCCTCCGATAAAACAAAGCATACTTGCAATCATGTTAGGAAACCTAAATTTGCAATCAGGGGCGACAATTGTAGTTGTCGGCCTATTATCGGACATGCAATTATAGTGGGGGTGACACTTGCAGTTGCAAGCCTAGTATCAGACATGCAACTCCCACCTTCCAAAACAAAACCGCAAAAACCAGTTGCAACCATGTTGGAAGACATGCAGTTGCAGTTGTGGAGGAGGGCACTTCCTGTTATACATGAAACTCCTAGCTTCCGAAACAAGAAACAAAAAAGACAAGTTGCAACCATGTTGGAAAACATGCAGTTGCAGTTGTGGAGGAGGGCACTTCCTGTTATACATGAAACTCCTAGCTTCCGAAACAAGAAACAAAAAAGACAAGTTGCAACCATGTTGGAAAACATGCAGCTGCAGTCGGGGCGACACTTGCAATGGCGGGCCTACTATCGGACATGCAATCACAATGGGAGCAACACTTGGAGTTGCGAGATTGGTATCAAACATGCAACAACCACCTTATAAAGAAACAAAAACAAAAAGAGTAGGTGCGACCATGTTAGAAGACATGTTGTTGCAATGGGGGCGACGCATACAGTTGTGAGCCTAGTATTGGACATGCAACTCCCACCTTCAAAAAAATAGTTGCAACCATGTTTAAAAAATAGATGCAGCTACAGTTGCATCTGGACATGGAACTACGCCCCTGCCCTCCTCGGACTTGCCCCACCCCATCTCTCCCACCACCCTCCAAAGAAAATACAAGGCCAAATTGTAGTTGGGAGGGGAAACATGAAGTTGCGGTCAGGGTGGCACTTGCAGTTGCAAGCCTACTGTCGGGCATGCAATTGGAAGTCATGCAGTTGTAGTCAGGGTGTTAGTTGCAGTTGCAGTTGCAGGCATAGTGCTAGGATGCAACTACCCCCACTCCCTCAGACTTGCTACTGCCCACCAACCCTCTCTCCCGCCGCCCCGATAAAAACACAAGGCGGTTGCGGTCGGGGGAGAGGCATGCAGTTGTAAGCCCCATCAGATGTGAATTTCTTGGGCGGGGGTGACACTTAGCACTCCATTATTTTGAGTTGAAGTCGCATTTCTGCACTTGTTGTTTGTACTTTATATAAGTGTTGGATTCCCATGAAATTGATAGGATACTTGTTAGTATGTGTTATAGGTCCTACAGGTGAGTATATGTATACATTTATTTTGTATATATTTCTCTCAAAAAGATTGTTAGTCCCCCATGTAGATAGGGATGCGCTAGAGGTTTATTAATGAAGGTTGTTGATCTCATAAGTGAACTTACCATCAATTTTAACCTTCATAGATAGAAAAAATGAAATGATTTGTCAATCTTTGTCGGTGGGAACTGGAAAGGGCTTAACCATAATCTAGTATGAAAATTAGCTTTTTTTAGGCAAGTATGAAAGTTAGCTTTGAGTACATATTCAACATCTCACTGTTCTTTAGTTTCCTCGTGAAAACTGTCTGTCACCGTGTCACGGATATCCTTGGAACTCAGTAGGGTTCACATTCTCTTCACACTGAGACAAGCGTGCCTTCCATTTTTTATTTCAGATCGACAAGTTTTTGTTTTTGTTTTTTTGCACACATTAGTATTTTTTTCCCACACATTAGCATTGAGCCCACGCTCCTTTTTTTCACTCTTATAGGCTAGAATCGGTCCACCGAAGCCCATTCTACCGCTCAGCCCGCTTCAGCGCTTCATCCCCAACTCCGTCCTCTCCGCTCGCACGCCGCCGGACAACGGCACAACCCCGCGGTAACGACACACTCCATCTGTACCCACTCGCCGGCGGTGTCAGCAGATATGAACGCCGCCCACCGCCGAACAAATCCATGTGTTACTGCCCTAATTTCTCGCGCGACTTCGCTTCGCGACGGGAGGAAATAGGAACGGAGAGGGATTGGCCACGGCGGCCAATGGCGGCGGCGACAGGTCACCCGCCACCCGCGCTTGGCCGGCCCCACCATCGCCATCTTCATCGACGCGCAAGAGGATCTGGCCCTCCAGTGACGGCGCGGCGTCGTCGACGGGATCTGCGGGCCGCGGCGGCGGGCCCCGATTCCCCAGTCCCCACGGCAACCAGCTGGCCATTCCTGCTTCCCGGGCCATCGCGTTGGCACCCCACCAGCGTGCCTCAGGTCGGAGTCGTCCCAACTCCCAACAGCACGGACGTTGCTCCAACCCTCGGATGCACTTTTGGGTTCACAAGTTAGAATCCGCCGAGATTCCACCCAAGTCCAAGATTCCACCGCTGGAACGCGCGCGGTATGTCATATTTTATCTCGTCGATCACTCAAAGCCTCAAAAGTCAAGCATTGTCATCATGTCATGGGTGGGCAGGCGGATGAAATCGCATCGAAAGTCATGGGTTTGACGGCCATAATCATGTAGAGAAATGCAGATAACAGCTACTGATGCAAATAATACTGGCTGACACTAACGCGAGAGCTGCGGGACATGTATTGTATTGCAGGCTTGCAACTTCTTGGAAGATTAACTGCCATATTATGTAACTAAGTGTTGTTCTCTCTGATCGAAGGAGGACCAGAATTCAAACTTCGGTAGGTAAGCTGGTGGGCACTTTGTAGAACAGTGCTGGAGGATGCACCTATAAGCCGCCTAAGGCTATAACCATTCTTCTTCACCAGGAGTAAGAAGGGTCGCTGACTATGGAGGAGTTAACCTCCAGCCACATCCTCAGCCTTCTTCTCTGCTCGTTCTTAGCCCTTTCTCCCATAGCCTTTGCTGCTGAGGTCACTGACACGCTCGGCAAGGGCCAGAATGTCAGTGATGGCGAGACACTCGTCTCAGCCGGTGGGTCATACACCCTGGGGTTCTTCTCCCCTGGGGTGGCTGCCAAGAGATATCTTGGTATATGGTTCACCATGTCCGAGGACGTCGTCAGTTGGGTAGCCAACGCTGACCGTCCTCTCACTGACGCTTTTGGGGTGTTGGTGATCAGTGGCACCGGAAGCCTTCTCCTGCTGGATAGCTCCGGTCAAGTCGTGTGGTCTTCAAACACGACGGGCACCGGCTTCATGACAGCGCAATTGCTCAATTCGGGCAACCTAGTCTTGAGCGACGGAAGCGGAGGTGCCGCCATGTGGCAGTCGTTCGATCACTTGTCGAACACGCAGCTTCCCGGCATGAAGATCGGCAGGAACCTGTGGACCGGTGCAGAGTGGCGGCTTACGTCGTGGCGTTCGCTGAACGACCCTTCCCCAGGTAACTTCCACTACACGACCAATTTGGAAGGCGTGCCGCAAAACGTTCTCTTGGACGGTGATAAAGTGATATACCGCACCGGACCATGGAACGGCCAATGGTTCAGCGGTGTCACGGAGATGGCCACATATTCTGACATGTTTGCCTACCAGTTGACAAACACCCCAAGCGAGGTAACCTACGGTTATGTCGCCAAGCCTGGAGCACCCTTGTCACATCTACTGCTCACCCACGACGGAGTATTCCGGCGCCTAGTGTGGGAGCCGAGCAGCCGAGCATGGAAGGTCTTCTTCCAAGGGCCGAGGGACATCTGCGACGACTACGGGAAGTGCGGCGTATTTGGTATGTGCAATGCCAATGCGCCGTCGACGTCATTCTGCAGCTGCATCAAGGGGTTCAGCCCGACGTCTCCGGTGCAGTGGAAGATGAGGGGCACCTCCAGTGGATGCCGCCGAAACGTGATGTTGGACTGTGGCAATGGAACTTCCACCACAGATGGTTTCGTGGTGATGCACGGATTGAAGCTTCCCGATACGCGCAATGCGTCGGCGGATGCAAGCATCACGTTGGAAGAATGCAGCGCGAAGTGCCTGGCGAACTGTTCATGCCTAGGCTATGCAGCATTAGATATCCGGGGAGGAGGCGTTGGAACTGGGTGCATCATCTGGAAAGATGACCTCATGGATCTGCGGTATGTAGATGGAGGACAAACCCTCTATCTAAGATCTGCCAAGTCTGAATTAGGTACGTCCAGTTCTCCTTAAACACTTGGTGTGAGCCCACTTTTCCTTTCGTAGGCCCATGAAATTTACTGTGACTTCTTTACTCAAGCCTGGATGTTTCTTAAAACCAGATGGTAAAATAGTGCACAGTCTGGGTATCTTTTTAAACTTCATGACTAGTGATAATTTCCATCTGCAGAATTAAGATTGATGATGGTAGAGTGATTATATTTTTGTGGTAATCTAGATGGTAATCTTCCTTTTGGAGCTGCATCTGTCAAATTTCTTGAATTTAATGATAAACTAAGTTAGCAATACCATGACTAGCAAGATGAAAGAGAATCTAAACTTATTCTACAGAGGGAATACAAGTGGGTGCTCTCCGTTGCTTATGTCTATTGATAAACCGATACCATGCGCGATCATGCTTTCCTCTGCTGCTGTTTTGCCATCTGCTGAACTTACCCTAATCATGCATGTAAAATATGTTTTAAAACTGTAACAGCTGAGGTGCGGTACCCAGCATTTCCAACTGGGCTTATTATTGGTGCATCAATAGCCTCCCTTGTCATGGTTCTCTTTGCTCTTTGGTTGTTCGCTGTTGTGAGGAGACGACGACGGGAATCAAGAATATCAGGTAACAGCATGACCATGCACACTGATTGCTTTCACATCCCTTTCTTGCAATGATAAGGAATGCTGTAAACATTCTATAAGCCTGATTATTTTTCCAGTAGACAATGCCCAGGGAGGTGCAAATGGGGCTGGTGCTGATACTCGCTCCAATCCTGCTTTGACTGTCCAGTCCGTCCGTGCAGTTGGTCTTCCTACTATAACAGAGGCTACAGGAAATTTCTCTGAAGCAAATATCATCGGTGAGGGCGAATATAGTGTCGTCTATAAGGTATTATTTATTCCTTGTACATATCAACTGACATTTGTCACAGATTGACTACACAGTACACACAGAGTAATGAAATCAGACTTCCTAACCACATCCTATCTACTGAATCTACATGGTAACATGGTACTGTATTATCACCAGGGGCAGCTACACGATGATACAATAGTTGCTGTGAAGAGGCTGAAACACTATCGTCTTACTAATAAAGGCAGGGAACATTTCTCAAGGGAAGTGGAAATGATGTCAAAGCTCATGCATGCCAATCTTGCTAAGCTCCTCTGCTATTGCCAGGAAGGAGATGAGTGGATATTAGTCTACGAGTGGATGGAGCGCCAGAGTTTGAATCTCTACGTTTTTGGTACTAGTTCCAATGCATGACATGTTAATCTATCATTATGTACAGATGTAACCCACAACTATTCCAATCTGTTTTTGGCCTGACACACCTATTTGGAAACGCAGGGGAAGAAAATGGATTCCGTTTCTCACTGAATTGGGGGCAAAGACTGGGAATAATTCGTGGGATCGCCGTAGGTGTTAAATTTCTTCACGGAGAAGGATTCATCCACAGGGATCTAAAACCTGGCAATATACTTGTCAGTGACACGTGGCATCCCAAAATAGCGGACTTTGCCACCGCGAAGCTGTTTATCGACGAGGAGACAAATCCGACATTAGTACTGACGCCGTATGATTGAAATTTCCAACCCATTTAGTGTTACATATTCAAGTTAGACTACTTGGACATGAAGAATGTATGATTGTTCCTTTTCCCTGTTTCTCCATGTCCAAGAGACCTGAATTAACCCCAGTGTTTTGTGTTAAATGAAGGGGATATGTCGCTCCGGAGTATTCATCGGAAGGGGCCCTGACGTACAAGTGTGATGTATATAGTTTTGGAGTCCTGTTGTTGGAGATAGTCAGTGGAAAAAGGAGAACAAGCATTCAAACTTTCCTTCTTCATGTAAGTCTGCTCATGACAAAACATATATACTCCTCCCTTATGCATCCTCTAATTTCTTCTCACTGAAACGGTGGCACTAAGTATGACGTAATCTTTGTTCAGCGTGCTACACAATATCCCAACACAAGTTAACCATCCACACATAGCCCTATCGAAAGACGAGTGCTATTCTGTATAACTGAACTTTTTTTTTCCTTTCCTTTTTGCAGGCCTGGGAATTGTGGAATCAACGCAAGATCAGGGAGCTTCTTGATCCACAAGTGGGTGAACCTAGAGGCGAGGTCTTGTCAGGGCTAGCCAGATGCATCCAGATTGGCCTTCTCTGCGTGCAGCATTTGCCTGAGCACAGGCCTTCAATGCCTGAAGTTGTGGCAATGCTAAGCGGCACCGGCTCACAGCTCCCTACGCCATGCAAACCCACACCAAACAGCGGAGCAGTACCCGGCACACAACCCGGACCGAGGCAGACCTTCTTACAGTGGCTATTCCACTCATGTGGCCGTGACTTCGCGAGCCCACGCATGGTAGCTACGGTGTAGTGCTTCGGTCTATGAGGGCGAGGCAGTGGCAGTGCAACTGAAGTAAGCGTAAATTTTACTACCAGTCCGGACGTCGCGGCCTGAAATTGACGTTTTATTTTTGTACTTTTAACACTGGGTATCTCCATCAGACTATCACCTTCATATTCCTTTCTGGATTTGTGCTTGTTCGAACCACGGCAAGTTTATCGGAAGTTTTGTTATGAAAACAATAATTGACACACACCAGGTAGAATGTGTGGTGGATGTTTCGTATGTCACTTTCTTACCTCTTATCAGATCTCAGCCTTAAAGTTTTGGAAACAAGAGCAGACTGAAACACAGCAAAGTGCACAGCTTGCGCTCCGAACTGAACTGGTGCAGTGCAAAGTCAGGAGAGTAAATCTTGTGTGGGCAACTGGGCAATGCTAATATGCTATGATCCACAGTCCCAGTAGCAAATGGAACATGGAGGCCTACTGGATGAACAAGTAACATGCCAGTGATGCATTGCAGGTTTTGCAGCACAACGTTTGCATCTGCGGCTCCACGGTTGGGCCGTAGCCCTGTACTCTTTGGGTGTTCGTCCTAGCAGAATGGGAGTGCTTACAGGCCCAGGATTGATTTTTCCCAGGCTCAGAATCTGCTTCGTCCATGCCGTCTGTGTCTGTCCCTGCAGCAAACAGTTGGTTTTCCTACCATGCCAGGTAATCTTCCTAAGGCCTTGTTCGGTTACGTGCGAATTCGAGTGGATTAAAGGGATTTGAGGGGGATTTAAACCTCTTGTAAGTCAAAATACAAACCAATCCTTGCCAATCCCCTTCAATCCTCTTGGGGAGAGGATTAACAGAACAAGCCCTAAAGTAGAGCATATCATTCGCAAAGGGGGATTTAGCAGTTCATCATCCAAGGTGCTAATTATTTCTTGCACTTATGAACTGAAACCAGAGGCTAACGCGCATCTTCGCCATGCCGTTCTTCACTGGTGGGATATCTTTTTTCTCTAGCAGGTTATTTGTGGTCGATTGTTTCTTTTTGGTTTCATTTGTGTTGGATTCTTTTGACAAAAGGTGGATTTTATTGACTCAAAATGAAGCATCAAAAGGATACAATTACAATAAGCACACACCCGGCCTCTACATAACCAGGATGCATACAACCAACATCAACACACACACAAAAAAAAAACACCGGCAAAGAGCAAAGTCATACAAGACTCAAGCTATGCCTAAGCGAGGGAAAAGAAAGAAACTCTAAAACAATCATAACAATGGTCGATAAACTACATCAACCACTATATCCGCACCAACCATCTCTTGACAGTACAAGCGCAATGAGAAAGTTTTTTCAACAGCAACGCGTTCAGGAAGGAAATGGCACTCAAACGTCATCATCACTAGATCCAACCAACAAAGGTCATACTCTAGGGTTTCACCCTGAAGAACACATCCGAGCAATGCCTTCATCAAATCGAAGTCATCATGTTATCGCCACCACTTTCCGCGATCCCAGGAGCTACAAGTGTGGCACAGTCTTTACGTGCCAGCACGACTACTGCTGCACAATCATCTCCTCTGCGTCAAGCCGTTGTCCATAGAATTTATCTCACCGCTGAATGCAAACTGGCCGGATTCAGAGCCGGATCTAAAGAAAAAACTCTCATGAAGACCCTTGAATGGCCACCGCAATCCGCCGCTCGAGTGGCCAGACGGTTCTGCCATGGTCAGGACGATAATCGCCCCCTCACATGGATCGGACGAACCACCTGCGGCCAAGTGACAACCATCGGCCAACCGATCTAAGTCCCAAGGCGCCACCACCAACCACCTTTGGTCTTGTGATCTGCTGACGGCAACAACGGCGGTGCACAAAAGAACGCAGATGACCCTTATCCTACGAAGCACCGATACGTCAAAAGTTGACGTGTCCGCATACCGCACGTCGCCGATACGGCGGTACGCACGATACGGCTAAGATACTCGTATCCCAGGCGTATCATGATTCCCGATTAAAAAGAAAAAGAGTGAATCAACCTGTGGTTGAGATGGTTAGGTGGACAGTGGTGTCCCCAACCCACCAGGGTTCAAATCCTGGTGCTCGCATTATTTCTGGATTTATTTCAGGATTTCCGGCGTTGCGCTTTCAGTGGGAGGAGACGTTCCCGTCGACGACGAGGCGCCTACGGTTGCTTCGTAAATCTCAAGATGATATGCCGGCTCAGTCTCTCGGAGGTGCTCATGTTCCTGCTACTGCTACTGGCACAGAGGGAAATACTCAAATCACCATGTAATCTGAAGGAAATACTCTCCACTGCCGTCGCAACTCACAAGGTAAACATCAATTACCCCGAGCCCCTACCATACAACTATGGCCCCCAGTGATGTACTGATGTGTGCTTGATCTTGATGCATGCTTGGCTGCTTGCTGGCGTCCATAGACCGTAGTAGTGGACTCTCTCATTAGGTAGTAGTAGTAGTACTACTATACTAATTTGGATCTGATGTATGTCTGGCTGCTTGCTGGCTTTCCATGTGTGCTTGCCGCTTGTTGATGTTTGTGATATAAAATTATTATTTGCTGATGTTGTCGTTGCTGCTGTCTATTGCTAGGAAAGGAGATAGAAGTACAACATGGCATTGCAGGGAGTTCCATGGCAACATTTTGATCTCATCTCACACATTTTATTATGTTTGCTTTTATTACATGTCATTTTTATAATTATTTATATATATATATATATATACTCGCCGTATCGCATATTGTTGTTTCTAAAAATTGCCGTATCCCGTATCGCCATACTCGTATCGCCGTATCGGTGTCGCCGTATCGGTGCAACGTAGCCCTTATCTATCACCGACGCTGCCGTGCTCAACGTACTGCACAACCGGAGTAGCCGGAGGAAGCTTCGCTCCGAACCAGCACGACCTTGACCGCAGGCTGTTGGAGGAGGAAGGCCATTGCCAAGGCGTCACCATGTTTTTGTTTTTGTTTTGTTTTACTTTACTTATATTTTCGGATATTCTATATTACAAAAAATACTTTACATAAAACATTCAAAAAAATGTTAATCAAGCATTTAAAATGATTAATGTGTATACCAAAAAATACAACGTGAAAATATGTATACAAAAAATGTAAACCATATATTTATAAGATGTTAATCCAAGAATTCGAGAACAATGTTGAACAAGTGTTCAAAAAATGTTAAACTTGTATTTGAAAAATGTTAAAAGAATATAAAAAATATGTTGACCATGGATCCAAAACATGTTAAACTTGTATTTGAAAAATGTTAAATGTGTATAAAAAAATGTTGACCATGTATTAAAAAATTTAAACTTGTACTGCAGAACAGGAGCTCACACAGTACTGCGCTTTTTTATTGGGATATGGGCTGGACTCAGTCCACCAAAGCCCTTTCGGCCCCGTCAGCCCGCTTCTTCCCCAGCCCTCCAGTCGCACGTGCGGCCAGACAGCGGCACAAGCCGCACAACATCAGTGCCCATTCGCCGGCGGCGGTGAGGAACGACGGCCACCGCCCTCCGCCGACCAACTCGATGTGCTACTCCCCTAGTTTCTTGGGCTACTTCGTTTCGCGGCGGGAGGAAATAGGAGTGCAGGATTTGCCAGGGCGGCCAATGGTGGCGGCGACGGGCCACCCACCACCGGCGCGCGGCCAGCCCCACCAGCGCCATCTTCATCGACACGTACGGGGAGCTGGCACTGCGGGGACGGCGCGGCGTCCTCGACGGGATTTGGGGGCGGCGGCCGCCACTCGCCGGCCTCCTCTGCTGCCCCCAATTCCCCACGGCAACCAACTGGTCCTTCCCGGGCCTCCGCGTCCTCCCAGTGGCGTCCCGCCGTGCCAACAGGGTGTGACTGGCGTCGGAGGTGGTGGCAGGTATCCCATTGCCTGACGGACGTCGACGCTTTCAAGCCCAACCTCCGGATGCATCTTCAGCGCCAGACGTTCAGGGAATCCACCCCAAGTTCCGGATGCAGTGATCCACACGGTATGTCATATTTTATCTCCACTATCGTGTGAAAAAAACTAGAGTATGAAGCATTATTGGTTTGAACTGTTGAAAGAACACTATCTATTCGAGTGTGCTGGAGAATCTGTCGATGCCAGCGCCGCTCAAAGGCTAAACCAATGAACTGGTCAACAGGCTAGATCTGGAAGTTCTTACCAGCCTTGCTAAGATTTCGAAATTGCGAGCCACAAATTGCATCTAAAGTGCTGTTCTCAGTAAGCGGTAAGCTCAACACGGCCTTCCATCTAGGGAGGAGACCGGATCAGGACATATTCAAACCTCCGACTTTGCTTGTAGCTGGTGTACCGATATTTTCATCTGAAAGGTCATACAAAATGCAGCAAACGGAATCAGTTGTTGCCAGTCGTTCGGTGATCTGTTGATCAAACAGAACACCATGTCTCCTGGCATGAAGCGAGCGGTACCTCACATCGTGTCGTTCACCTTGACACCTCGTCTTGTCGACATGCTTGGTACGAATGTACTGAAGAATCTGTCAGTGCTGGCGCTCAAAAATTTCTTGCCCGGCAAGTTTCTCGCTGGAGTTGGCTTTTTTTAATCAAAAAGGGGGGTTGTTAAATCTTATTTCTTAATCAAATTTTATATGGTCAACCAATCGGTTGGTGAACAAGTTCCTTGAAGTTTCTTCCAGCAGCCTTGCAAGAACCATTCAATGTAGACGCGGTTGATGTCAATCAAGGATTAAAAATTGCCGTGACAAGGCGCCGTCCTTACTTCCTACCCAAGACCAGCCACTGGATAATGTTTATCTTCTACAAGTGCATAATTCTGTCACTGCCCCTTCGGATGATTCAAGCACCAAATTAGGCCAGCCACATCCAAACACACGAAAAATGTATAAGGCCGGGTATATGTAGACCGGCGGTTAGCCTAGCTACCTTGTTCGAGTAGTCTTTTTCCCCAGATCCCGGGACAAGAAACACCAGCCATCATGTGGTCGAAGAATGAGCCACACCTCCAGAGCCT